GATGTGATTGATTCTGGAGAATGTTCCATGGGCACTAGAGAAGAATGTGTATTCTGTTGCTTTGGGATGGAATGTTCTGAATATGTCTGTGAAATCCATTTGGTCCAGTTTGTCATTTAAAGTCTTTATTTCCTTGTTGACCTTTTGCTTAGACAATCTGTCCATTTCAGTGAGGGGGGTGTTAAAGTCCCCCACTATTATTGTATTGTTGTCGATGTGTTTCTTTGCTTTTGTTATTAATTGCCTCACATAATTGGCTGCTCCCATGTTAGGGGCATAGATATTTACAATTGTTAGATCTCCTTGTTGGATAGACCCTTTAAGTAGGATATAGTGTCCTTCCTCATCTCTTATTACAGTCTTTGGTTTAAAATCTAATTTGTCTGATATAAGGATTGCCACCCCAGGTTTCTTTTGGTGTCCATTAGCATGGTAGATGGTTTTTCACCCTCTCACTTTCAATCTGGGTGTGTCTTTGGGTCTAAAATGAGTCTCTTGCAGACAGCATATCAATGGGTCTTGTTTTTTAATCCAATCTGATAGCCTGTGTCTTTTGATTGGGGCATTTAGCCCATTTACATTCAGGGTAACTATTGAAAGATAGGAATTTAGTGCCATTGTGTTGCCTCTAAGGTGACAGTTACTGTATATTGTCTGTGTTCCTTTCTGGTCTATGTTGCTTTTAGGGTCTCTCTTTGCTTAGAGGACCCCTTTCAAGATTTCTTGTAGGGTTGGTTTCGTGTTTGCAAATTCCTTTAGTTTTTGTTTGTCCTGCAAGATTTTATCTCTCCATTTTCAATGACAGCCTAGCTGGATATAGTATTCTTGGCTGCCTATTTTTGTAATTTAGTGCTCTGAATATATCCTGCCAGTCCTTTCTGGCCTGCCAGGTCTCTGTGGATAAATCTGTTGCCAATCTAATGTTTCTACCATTGTAGGTTACATATCTCTTTTCGTGAGCTGCTTTCAGGATTTTCTCTTTGTCTCTGAGACTTGTAAGTTTTACTATTAGATGTTGGGGTGTTGACCTATTTTTATTGATTTTGAAAGGCGTTCTCTGTGCTTCCTGAATTTTGGTGCCTGTTTCCTTCCCCTAATCAGGGAAGTTCTCTGCTATAATTTGCTCCAATATCCCTTCTGCCCCTGTGTCTCTTTCTTCTTCTTCTGGGATCCCAATTATTCTAATATTTTTTCATCTTATGGTATCGCTTATCTCTCAAATTCTGCCCTCATGAACCAGTAGTTGTTTATCTCTCTTTTTCTCAGCTTCTTTATTTTCCATCATTTGGTCTTCTATATCACTGATTCCCTCTTCTGCCTCATTTTCCTAGCAATTAGGGCCCCCATTTTTGATTGCACCTCATTAATAGCGTTTTTGATTTCGACGTGGTTAGATTTTAGTTGTTTCATTTCTCCAGGAAGGGTTTCTCTAATAACTTCCATGCTTTTTTCAAGCCTAGCTAGTATCTTCAAAGTGATGATTCTGAACTCTTGATCTGACGTCATACTAATGTCCGTATTGAGTAGGTCCCTGGCAATCGGTACTACCTCTTGTTCTTTTTGTTGAGGTGATTTTTTCCATCTTGTCATTTTGTCGAGAGGAGAATAGATGAATGAGAGAACAAAATGCTAACAGGGTCACAATGTCCCCAGAAAATATACTCTAAACAAATCAGAAAAGACCTGAAGCAGGGATAAAAGAACAGGTAAGAGAGAGAAAAAAAAAAGAAAATAAAAATTAAAAAATAAAGATAAAGATAAAAACAAACAAAAACAGAACAAAAGAAAAAGAACCATAATATGATCAAATAGGATCAGGCTGGTAAATAGATCAGTGCCACACACTAGATTTTGAGTGTATTTTCGTCTGTTAGAAGAAAGTGCCTCCCAAAATTTTAAAGAAAGAAAAACTTATATATGTACAAAAATAAGGGTTGATATGATGAAGGGATGGAATATGAGTGTAAAGATGATAATTATAAAAAATTTTATAAAAGGAATTGATAAGAAGTTGTTTGAAAAAAGAAAGAAGAGAATTAAAAAAAAGAAAAAAAAAGGGAGAGAATGTGATCAGGCAGGGGAGTAGGAAAAAACCATACACTAGAGATTTTGGGTATATTTTGATCTGTTAGAAGAAACTCTATCTCAAAATTTTAAAGAGAGAACAACTTATATATATATGCCAAAAATACGGGTAACTACTATGAAGGGATAGAATATGACTCTAAAAATGAAAAAAATATATATATTTTTTTAAATGGATTGATAAGATGTTGGTTGAAAAAGGGGAAAAGGGGGGCACCTGGGTGGCTCAGTTGGTTAAGCGACTGCCTTCGGTTCAGGTCATGATCCTGGAGTCCCGGGATCGAGTCCCGCATCGGGCTCCCTGCTTGGTGGGGAGTCTGCTTCTCCCTCTCCCACTCCCCGTTTGTGTTCCCTCTCTCACTGTGTCTTTCTCTGTCAAATAAATGAATAAAATCTTTAAAAAAATAAAAATAAAAATGAAAAATAAATTTTTTTTTTTAAAACGGATTGATAAGATGTTGGTTGAAAAAGGGGAAAAGGGGGGCACCTGGGTGGCTCAGTCGTTAAGTGTCTGCCTTCGGCTCAGGTCACAATCCCAGGGTCCTGGGATCGAGCCCCGCATTGGGCTCCCTGCTCCGCGGGAAGCCTGCTTCTCCCACTCCCACTCCCCCTGCTTGTGTTCCCTCTCTCGCTGTCAAATAAATAAAAAGAAAATCTTTAAAAAAAAAAAAAGAAAAAGGGAAAAAGGAAAATTCAAAAAAAAAATTAACTTTGAAAGACTAAAGAATCATGGTAAAAAAGTCATGGATTCTATGTGCAGTATTCCCCTAGTGCTGGAGTTGTGCCATTCTCATTGATGGGTAAACTTGGTCTTGGCTGGCTGTTCTTGCTGATCTTCTGGAGGAGGCGCCTGTTGTCATGGTTCCCAAATGTCTTTGCCAGAGGCGGAATTGCCCCGCCCTTGCCCGGTTTGGGCTAAGTAATCTGCTCAGGTTTGCTCTCGGGAGCTTTTGTTCCCTGTAAGCTTTCCGTACAGCTTTGGAGGCCGAGAGTGAAAGTGGTGGCCTCCCAATCTCCGCGCTGGAGGAGCCGAGAACTCGGGGCCCCGCCTCTCAGTGCTCCCCCAGAGAAAAGCAGTTAGTCACTCCCATCTCCCTGGTCTCTGGCCGCGCTCCGTGCTCACCCGGCCTCTGACAGAGCATTTCTATCTCTGGCACCCGACCCCGTGTGGAGTCTCCAAACCCAGCAGATCCCTGCAGTGCGCTCCCATGCCACTCCTCCCGGGGGAGAAAGGGGAGTCTCCCTGGATCTGCCACTTGTTGGGTCCCTGCTGGAGGAGCAGGGACCTGACTGTGCCCCGGATCATGGTTTATGGCAACCCTGAACTGAGAGCCCATGCCTCAGCTCCATCTCTGCAGCCGGCTTCCCCGCTCTGATACCTGGGAGCTCTGCTGCACTCAGGGACCCCCAGTCTTTCTGTGACCCCAAGGGTCCTGAGACCACACTGTCCCGCGAGGGTTCCACCCCCTGCTTAGTCACTGGAGCGACGTCCCTCAGCGGAGCAGACTTTTAAAAGTTCTGATTTTGTGCTCCCTGGCTCTATCACTTGCCAGAATTGGCAGATGGAGGCCCCTCCCCCGCCGTCTATCATCCCAAATATCGCCTAGGATTCACTTCTCCGCATGTCCTACCTTCCAGAAAGTGGTCGCTTTTCTGTTCAGAGTTGCTGCTATTCTTTTCTTCGATCTCCTGTTGAGTTTGTAGGTGTTCAGAATGGTTTGATCCCTATCCAGCTGAATTCCTGAGAGGAGACGAAATCCAGGTCTCCTACTCCTCCGCCATCTTGCTCTGCCCCTCCTATTTCTGGATTTTCTATTCTGTTCTGTTGATCTACCTATTTTTGTATCATTACCATACTGTTTTGATTACTAGAGTTTTGTAATATAACCTGAAGTCTGGAATTGTGATGCCTCCAGCTTTGCTTTTCTTTTTCAAGATTGCTTTGGCTATTTGGGGTCTTTCGTGGTTCCATACAAATTTTAGGATTTTTGTTCTTGTTTGTGAAAAATGCTATTGGTATTTTAATAGGAATTGCATTAAATGTGTTGTTTGCTTTGGGTAGTATACACATAAAATTGTGTCTTTACAAGTGATTTCTAGAAGTAGGATTGGAGTAAGGGCCATTTGCACTTTTTTTCTGTGACTTGCCTATATCTTGTCCTATTTTTTTCTATAGGGTTATTGACTGTTTCTCTATTTTTAGAAACTATATGTTAAACATATTAACTATTCATGGTATAACTGCAATTATTTTTCTCATATAACATTTTACTCCTCTTGAGTTAAAAAACATATAGTCAATTTAACAATACTTTGATTAACTGCATCTGGAATTTGAGTCATAGTTAGCAAAGGACTTCTACTACTAACAGATGTTAGAAGATTTTACCATGATTCCTTCCATCATTTCACTCTTTATATTTAGATCTCTAACCCATTTGGGATTTCTCTTAGTATCAGTATGATTCATGAATACAATTTATTTCTGCCCTTATGGATATCCAATTAACCCAATACCTCCATTACAAAGATTTCTCTTTCCATACTTAACTGAGATGTCACCTTTATCATATATTAAATTTGCACATGCATTTGAGACCACAAAATGTTTTTCTATTCATCTATCCGTCCATTCCTTCATCAGTACCACATTACAGAGATTTTAAAACATAATTGAATATGTTCCAGATATTTTAATATTTTTCTAGAGAAGACTTTTTTCTTTTTCATTTTTTGCTTTTTCCAACTGCTAGAGGTTGTCCCCAGTTTCGGTCTCATGGTGCCTTTCCATCTTCCAAGCCAGTGATGGCTACTCAAGTCTTTCTCACACCATAATGTGACTGACTCTTCTGCCTTCTATTCCCACATTTAAAGGATCTTTGTGATTACATTCACTCCACTCTGATAAGCCAAGATAATCTCTTTATTTATTTTTAATTTTTATTTAAATTTTAGTTAGTTAACATACAATGCAATATTGGTTTCAAGAGTAGAATTCAGTGGTTCATCATTTACATATAACACCGAGTGCCCTCTTTAATACCCATCAGCCATCTAGCCCATCCCACACACATCTCCCTCCATCAACTCTCAGTTTGTTCTCTATTTTTAAGAGTCTCTTATGGTTTTTTCCCCTCTCTCCTTTTTTTTCTTTCCCCCTCCCCATATATTCATCTGTTCTCTTCTTTAAATTCCACATATGAGTGAGATCATATGGTATTTGTCTTTCTGACTTATTTCACTTAGCATAATACACTTCAGTTCCATCCACATCATTGCAAATTGTAAGATTTCATTTTCTTGCTGGGTGAGTAATATTCCATTGTGTGTTTCTATATATATATATATACACACCATCCCTTCTTTATCCATTCATCAGTCAATGGACATTTAGGCTATCTCTATAGTTTGGCTATTGTTGATAATGCTGCTATAAACATTGGGGTGCATGTACCCCTTTGAATCTGTATTTTTGTATTGTTTGGGTTAATACCTAGTAGTGCAATTGCTGGATCATAAGGTAGTTCTATTTTTTGCTTTTTGATGAACTTCCATACTGTTCTCCAGAGTGGCTATACCAGTCTGCATTCCCACTAACAGTGCAAGAGGCAAAGCTATGTTTTTAATATGCTGGGTAGTGATTCATGTATTCATGTAGTGATTCATGTATTCTCTTATGGGAGTATCCTATGGACTAGGGACTATAATTGGACTTGGACAAATATCTCATCATCTTGATATCTCAACAGGAAGCAGTTCATTGATTCTAACTCTACCAATTGACTTTAACTTCTATCTCTTGCATCTGTTTCTCAGATACCTAAGCCCCCTAATCCCAACCCTAACTATTAAGGAATTTGGAGCAACTGAATTGACCTCCTTTTGCCTGGGATCTGCAGAGGGAAACTATTTAACATGACCTTGAGAATGGATATATGAATCAATCAGGGTGGGTGGGTACGAGGGTATGGAGATAGAGTCTTCAGTCCTATTTCTTTCTTTAATGAAAAACTCACATTGATGTCTCTTACCTTTGTGTAACTGTGTACTGCAGAGTTGGAGTTTTAATACATAAATTGTACATATTTTAAGTTCCATGTGGACAAGGAGCATAGTTTAGGTTTTTGTTTTGTTTTGTTTGGTGCCTTCATGGTACTTAGCAAAGTCCAATATACATGGCATGTGTTTAAGGAGCAAATGCTAGAGGACAAGATTTCTGGGCTGTACAGGTCATTGTATGATGGATGGGGGAAAGGAATTTTGGGACAAGCCTGGTTCAATTCCCACGTGAGTATTCTAGAAGATTTCTCTATCATGCAGTTTTTTGGTATGAGGCACAAAAGTTGAAATTGTTTTTGTTTTTTGACTTGTTTTGCTGATGTGGGGGTTATAAGTCAATCTTTTTAGACTTTAATTAAGCTGTTGCATTCTAATTAGCGATTTTCTTTCCAAATCCCCTGAATCTCAACTCTTACTTTTCTTTTCCAATTCTAAGCCACATTACTCATTCAAATAAAATTTTCTTAACAGTATTTCAAGGTATCCAATAAATACATAAAAATCTAACAAATATAAATAAAATGAGGAAAAAGCAAGTTTTGACATAATTGTTATTTCTAATACAATGAAATGAACACATTCTTTCCAGTAATGTGTGTGTTATGGACCATCAAAACACATGAAAATAAGTAGCAAAAGGCCACCACACATTTGTATATTTTAATCAAACAATACTCACCATAGTGATGGTGGAAAGTGTTTTTAAAAAGGAAAATTGAACATCAGAAATAAGATAATCAGGTTGAAATATACGTAATTGAGTCAGAAGTCAGGTTAAAGTTCCTTTGGTAGGGGTATGTTGGCTGTTTGATCTCAGGTAAAAGTCGCTGAATTGGTCCTTTGTGCTGGCCACTATAATGGGCACTGGGAGTACAAAGGTGAAAAAGACACAATCCCTTCTCTTACTTAGTTTTGAATTACCAGACAAATGATCTACTCCAGATATCAACATCAGTGGATTAATATATGCTTACTTTGACTTAAAAATTTCAGAACAGTCATTTTATCATAAAATCATTAATACCTCACATACTTTTAAAAAGTGCAATTTATTCAAGAACTTAAACAATGTAATCGATATATTTGGTTACTTTAAAACAATCATTTTAAGTATAACATACAGATGCATATGGTCAACATTTAGTGTTTTTCAGAAAAGATGATGTATATTTTGCTTTTATTTTGTCTCCATTAATAAAATTGACAATGTAATGAAAGATATATTGTTCTTTACAGTTGTTTACCCTCGCACAGTAATTCTTAGCCTTTTTAATCTTATGTTCCACCAGCATTATATCCAATAGAGCTCAACAAATTAGAAATTAAAAAGCCTACACTTTCAGAAAAAGTTGTACTTCATAAGTACTGTTATTAGTTTTATCATTTATTGTCAGTATTAAACCTATGAAAAAATTATAGTAGAATTTAAGACCTTAAAATAAGCAAAAATTATTCCTTTAGTAGTTGAAACATTTTATTATATGGTTGAGTATAAATTTTACTACCTTAGTAATGTAAAACACAAAGGTGTTTAATAAAAAATATTGCCATCAGTAGGTTTATGTGAAATTCTGCATCAGGTAGACAAAGTAGAAAAAGATGTTGGCATCTAGAGGTAGGTGACATGGAATGAAGCTCAGGGGACACAAAATGTATATCAAGAGCACAGTTGGTCAAAAGAAATGAGGAAGGAAGAAAAGTCAAATAAATATTCCATAGTAAGCAGGCTAATCAGGAAGCTGGACAAAGAAAACACTTGTACACCTGGGAAGAAAGGATTAGAAGAAATTTTGTCCAGGGTGACATGTATATCAAGTCATAGATCCCTGGAGCATAGTGTCAGAAGGAGATGGTATACCACAAACATAAGGGATAGCCAGTTATTCATATTGTAATGTTAATTCTGTGTCCCATCTAGGCTCTAGTAGATTAGAGGACTTGTGGCTTCACCATGGTATTAAGTTTGTTAGATATTCCCAAAGATTTCAATTATATGTCTGAACTAAAATTTATTTCACTTCTTAATGTAAGAATGCCTTGCTAAATTTAATTCAGTCTATGAAAATCAGCATTTTAAAAATGAAACAATTAGATGTAAAATTACTTACTTTACAAATACTGGATTTATTTTTCTTAATTTTTCAACTATCTTTGTCTTTTCTCATATTATCTGCCTACCTTTGTAGGTATCTTAAGTTTTGGGTATCTTCTTTTCTTTTTAATATTTTATTTATTTATTTGTCAGAGAGGGGGAGAGAGAGAGAGGGAGAGGGTTCAGAAGCAGGGGGAGTGACAGGCAGAGGGAGAAGCAGGCTCCTGGCTGAGCAGGGAGCCCAGTGTGGAACTTGATCCCAGGATCCTGGGATCATGACCTGAGCCAAAGGCACCCAGGTGTCCCAGTTTTGGGCATCTTCAAACAAATTTGGTGTTTTATTCCATTTGTGAAATGGTCAGTCTAAGTAGATCTGATTGTCTTTTCACCAACAGCTCTAGTGTTTGAATTTGTTTTGAATCAGGGAAAATTATGTCTCTATGTAGCTTTTTAAAATTGATCCCTGTCTAAAATGAAACTTGGATTAAGGCCCTTGCTTTCCCCCAGAGGTCTCAGCTCTAAATATGAAGCTTTCTGGACTGAAAGTAGAAAAAAGTAAAAGTCAGGTTGTATATTTTCTGAGGGCTCTTTAACAACAGACTTTTGAATATGTAGGGAGACAAAGAGTAATAAAAAACAGAACTGAAGGATTATAAAAATATATTATACAAATAATAAGGAAAATATTCTAGAGCATACTAAGTTCCCTCCATTTCCCTTAAATGTTGTCTCTTTCTTTATCTCTCATCCTTCCTTTCTCCAGCAGTAGCTATTTGGGCTACCCAACCCAGGCTCCACAGCTTTCATCACATTAAGTTTAAGAGAGCTTAAATATGGTATTCTCTATACTCGAATCCTCAGTTTGGTCCCCTACTTTAATTAGAGCAAGGTGGTTATCCTTTACTCCTATAAACACTCCAGGATTGTTCTTACACTCAAATGAAACACATTTAGAAGACTTCCTATGGAGGCGGAAGAAGGCCTGGTCTGGCAACTGATTTTCACATTTTTGTAGCTGAGGAAACAAGAAAGAAAACAACCAGCGTGTAAGTGGGAAGTCCAAAGTCAACCTTACCTCCTGCATTAGAAACTAAAAGGGAATAAGTATAACTTAATATTTCTAGCAAGACTGCTTACTAAGTAGGGGATGGGAGTGGCAGAGTAGGAAGAAATGGGTAGAGGACTGAAGTGTGTGGGGGGATGATTTGATTTGACTCATTGATAATTGAGAGACATTATAGCTTAGAGTGAGTGGATTTGGATGCAGCAGCTCAGGATTTGTGCCCAACTTTTGCCATGTACTATCTCTGAGACGTGTGCACATTGCTTTACTTCTCAAACCTCAATTTTTTAGTCTAATCAGCTTTCTAGATCAGTCAACCTGCAACTTATCAGCACGTATGTGAATTATATAAGTGATTATTATTTTAGGCCAGTAAGTGTGGGGGATGGTTTGTATTACAGTAATATTTGACCAGTACAACAACTCTATTATGGCATTACTGCAAGAATTAAAGGAGACTGCTTGTAAAACATTTAGCACAGTATTTGGCATGTAATAGAGCTCTGTATGGGGTCAGCTCATATTACTGAGTAGTTATATATATCCAACACTGTTATATACATTTAGGAATGTTTGTTAAGAAAGATGCTGGTTACCATCCAGTGTTTATGTTAATACATTACATGGCTGTATTAGTTAGATTTATAATTTTGTATTTATGTCATCTGTCATCTATATTATTCTCTTATGTTTTCTTCCTGGTCTCTATCTTTAGCTTGTTTGTTCCTGAAGATTCATGTTTATAAATTTTCATCATGACCAATATTATACTGCCATTTACATTTTTCTGTAACAACACTAACATTGTGAATCTTGGCATATGGAAATGTTTATGACTTTCCCTTCAGCAGGGTCAGAGTGTAAAATCATTTTTGCATTTGCCTAAGAAAACTATATTTTATCAAGAAACACTTCTTGGAAGAACAAAATAGTTCCTAAAGTTAAGTAGAAAGGATTTGAGATCATTCTATATAGCAGTGCTTCTCAAACTTTAATGTGCTTATGAATCTCCTGGAGATTTATTAAAATTATGATTCTGATTCAATTATGAGGAAGCCTGAAATTCTCCATGTCTAACAAACTCCCAGGTGCACTGCTGGCAGAGATCAGACTTTCAGTAGCAAGGCTATGCATGCTGTTTCCCTCCCTTTCCTACTCCAGAAGCAAGTTAGTAGTAGCTGATTGTGTTTTAGGTACAATAGCACAAACAAAAATTCTTCTTTGAAATATGCCAGACACCCAAATCTGCACAAATGAGTGGAGTCAGTTAAGACAGTTAAGTGCATATTTCTATTACCTCCACAGAGTGTTCCTTGTTGTTGGCATGCAGCAAAAAATCTTTGTCTTTTGTAGGACTCAGGTTTACCAATAATGTCTGGCCATCAACACCATCACCTTGCAATTAAAAAAAATGTAAATAAAAAATAAATAAATAATTTAAAAATGTAAATTATAAAGTTAAGAATTTAACTCATTTTAATTTAAATGAATTTAACACCTAGGAAAAGAGTCCAAGATATGATGTAAAATAATTGCTTCATTAACCCACATGTTTTTTAGAAGTATTTGTACCCAAATGAAATGAATCATTGGACAATTTGGGAGTAATTTTAAGCTCCTTAGTTTTATTATATGGTTTCTAATTATAGAATTGTGACTCTATTGGGTATTTCTCTGGGTGTCAGCTTCCCTGTCTGATGCAAAGCCACTGATAGTTGTCTCCCAATATCCAACTACCCCTTCTTGTGTAATAGAACATTTCCCAGTCTGTTTTCTTGTAATTAAGTGTAGCAATGTGACTAAGTTTTGACCAATATGAGGTGAATGGAAGTGTCAGGTGCAACTTCAAGGTTTTGTCCTTTAGGGGAAAAAAGAATTCATGCATTTGTTTTCCTTTGTCCTGCTGATTGGGCATTGTCATGGTAACAAGTAATCTTAAACCATGTAGATGTTGGCAGAGTCACAGAGAAGGAGCTGGGTCCTTGTACACCCTGTTGAGCAGCACTGCTATTCCAGTCCTAGCTAAGATAAAAATAAAGTTTTGTGTAGCTTAAGCCACTATTATTCTGAATCTCTTTTAAATGTAAACCTTTATCCTAATTATTAAGCTGTACAAAGGATGGGTGGAATAAATCCTCTAAGAATCTAAGATTTTACCATGAGTGTGGGCTGGAGAGAACCTTCTGAGACTGCCTTCCTTTTTCATGGAGCATTTTTGGATTTGTCCTTACCCCAAATTCAAGAATTCAAGCACTACAGCTGCCCAGCCCTCCAAAATACCTGTTTCATGAGAGGGGGATTGAGAATCATAATAACGGAATAACACCTTATCTGAAAGAGAATGCATAAAATCCCTTTGGTGAGTTACAATTTTATCAAAAGTTTTCAATTTCAACATATACGTAATAGCAGAAAATATCCTCTTATTATATATCAATAAAAGCAAAACTTTTGTGATTTTAAGAAATGTCTCAAAAATGTATGAATATGCTCTGATGAATTCTCTAACAGAGTCACTATTAAAATATTTAACATATTGTTCATAGCACTGGTATATTCTTTTACTTGAAGTTTTACTTTGGTGATATTGATAAGGCTGGAAAGATGTAGTGGGTAATTAACAATAGAAACTATGTGTGGTCTCTCTTTCCATCTTTCACAACAGATACCACTTCTCAATACCAGCATTCTTCCCTGATAAACCCTAAATAAGCTTCTGAATTCTCCTCAGCTTAGTGGTATTTAGGCATCTGCTGCCAATGCATTGGAGTTAGCACCCAGCATGAAATTTATTTGCCATGTCTGAAGTAATCCACCGTTTATGGTTTGGTAAATTTATTATTATTATTATTAAGAGAGGGGGCAGGTGGAGCTAGAGGGGCAGGAGCAGAGGGAGACGGGAGAATCTTAAGTAGGCTTCACGCACAGCGAGAGCCTGATATGGGGCTTGATCTCAAGGCCTGAGATCAATGACCTGAGCAGAAATCAAGGGTTGGACACTTAACTGACTGAGCCAGCCAGGCGGCCCTTGGTAAATTTGTTTTTTACTTTACTAGTCATCATTATATCATTATAGACAAAAGGAAATATTCTACCTTTCTCTTGGTCTTTTCCCAAGTCTTCTACATAGATCTCATAACTTCCATCCTCAAAAACGAAAGTAATAGATTGATCATTGTATGTGCTCAGGGAAGCAGAATATTCTGTAACAAGTGAAAAGCTTGTCATTAAAAAATCAAAAACACTTGTTCCCATGAACAATCTTTCAGCAATTAAAAATAAATGCTTCCTTAAATGTTTTTGGTTTTTTTCTTTCCAATTTGAGCTGCACCTTGCCCAACACTGTTGGATAGATAAAAGCCTTTGGTGCAAGCTTAATGTAGCTCAAAGGATAAACTGTGCCATTTGAATGGGATTAGAGATGCTAGTCTCTTGCTTGAAAACCACAGGAGGTCACGTTAGTGTGTTTATGGGAGGATTTGGTGGAGAGAAAGAAGCTGGAAAACTGACAGACTTTGCCTGAGGAAACCTCTGTTTCCTTGCTTCTTGTGGTCAGGGGGACTGTGGATAAGGAGACTGTATTTTGATAGACATGGTTAAATGAATACTCATCTGTAAGGTGTGGAGTTATTCAGAGACTTCCAACAATCCTGGAGAGTGTAAGTGTGAGTACCATTCTGTCCTCTGGCTAAATAACAGAGACACTTAGAGCAGTATCCCCAACTTTTAAAAAAATGTTCCAGCACACATAGAAAAGGAGAATATTTCTCCCGCATGCTGGGGTAAACGTGTAGAATTAGGGACTACCTATGTTGGTCCTTAAGAAAAAAATTATTATGTTTTCTTTATTTTATAGAATTGTGCTAAGAAAAATAACATACAAAACAGAAGAATGTTAAATATTGAGTCTGTATGTGGAACTTCAAAAGTAAAATGATTTAAAAATACCTAATGAGAAACTTCAGTTTGCTTCTGGGAACTTAAGACATTTATATCAGGATTATGCTTGAAATGGCAACATGCAATTCCTGTTCAAATTTTCTTAATGATCTCTTCACTTCTTGATGGTCTCCATCAGTTTGGACTTTATTTGCATGAGTAGCTGATGCAATGCAACTTAAAGCCATTTGAACAACCATTTAAAATGTTTAAGAGTTGAAATTATATTTTAAAAATATAATAATTCTTAATTTTTTTTTATTGTCAAAATGTTGAAATATGGGGGGGGGGCATGTGGGTATTTTTTCCCCCAAAGGATAACATATTTTCCCCAGGAATAATGTATATGGGATTCTAATCCATAACAAGCATTTCAAAATGATGGAGGGCTAACTATAAAGTGTACATTCATTGACAGAGTAGCTACTCTGTACCTAGTTTGAATACCACTGAATGGGTATGTGGACAGCAAATGGACAGAAGTTTCTGTTATACAAGAAGGCATAGACTTTGAGCTTCTTCCTAGAGTGGCATTGGTCCTGTGTCTTACCTCCCTCCTCACACCCACACCACCCTCATCACCAGTCATACCTTGGATACTTGGAATATTAGTTGCTCCAATACACTTGGGGACCATAGGTACCTCACAGGCAAAGTCTTTCTTTAGCTGTTGACGACAAGCAGTGAATACCACATGTTGCTCTTTGTACTTTTCAGCTGTAGGACAAGGAGAGAATAGGAGTGGACTGTCAGTACCCACTCTGCCCAAACCTCTTTACCCCCACTGGAGGATTCCCAGTCAAAGCTGCTTGCTGGCACTGACCCCAGGGCTTTAGCCACCCCATAGCCTGAAGGGATTAATACCTCCTGGCACACTTATACCCCAGTAGGGCATACCCATTGGAGCCCAGGTGGAAGAAAACTAGTTACCCATGGTCTCAACACCCCAAAACAACTGCTATTAACATTTTAGTTTAATTCCTTTAAATGAAAAAAAAAAAAAAAAACACTTAAAAATACTGTAAATATATTTGTAATTTTATATACTCTATTTTCACTTAATATTATAACATAACCATTTCTCCCATGCTATAAAAACTCTTTATATGTCCTTTTGAAAATGGCTAGAAAATAGTTCAGCATCCTTACTTTTTTTCAGAAGGAAAATTTGCTCAAGGGAAAAAATTACATATCCAAGATGTGGTAAATAAAGGCAAATAGAAGCCCATTACTATAATGAAGAATTACCAGGAAATGTAGTTTCCCCTTACCTGTTCTTGGTGAATGCTTTTTGGTGATTTCTTTCCTAAAATAACAGGCTGTCTTTTCTATGATAAGGCCAGAGCGCAGCTGCATAAAATACATCTGGCAAACTTCTTCAGCTTTCTGTTGGGATTCTAAACAGTTGAAAAATTTTGATACCGTTTCATTCCATCCATTTTTATCCTTTTACAAACCCTGAGTGTAGCAGACCAAGAAAGCAACTAAAGATCTACAGTATTGGGACCCCTGGTTGGCTCAGTCAGTTAAGCGGTTGCCTTCGGCTCAGGTCATGATCCCAGCGTCCTGGGATCGAGCCCCGCATCGGGCTCCCTGCTCAGTGGGGAGCCTGCTTCTCCCTCTCCCTCTGCCTCTCTCCCTGCTCATGCTCTCTCTCTCTCCCTCTGCCTGCTGCTGCCCCTGCTTGTGCGCACGTTCTCTCTGACAAGTAAATAAATAAAATCTTTTTAAAAAATACATCTATTTGCTAAAAAAAAAAATGGTCTATAGTACCTCATCAGAAACCTTGGGGCCAGTGTGTTTCAAAATTCAGTTTTTTAGATTTTAGAATTGTCATGTAGAGTATATACTATATATATATAGTATAGTATATATATATATATATGTAGTACTCCCAGCAGGGACTAGGGCAGCACTCATATAATCAAAAATTCATTATTTTATAGTGAAATATAGGAAAATTTACATAAAGTGAAATAAACACCTCATGTTGGTTCAGGTCAGGATTTAACTGTCATGTAAGTTCAGATCATATTTTATTACCAAATAAGTTATGAAAAATTTTAGGTCTTTAGAAAAATTTTGGTTTTCAGAATTCTATATAAGGGAGTGTGGATCTACATCCAACATATATCAGTCTTTGCCTGAGGGGGAACTTTTATGGTCATATGAAGTCTATAATCTTTTTTACTTATCTAGAATGTACTTTTAATAATTTTAGAGGGACAGCTATAGTCTCTAGAGTTTATTGATGCTAAAAATAACTGACTCATGTTAAGGAGCTTTTTTCCCTATATTTTCTTTTAGGAGTGTCATGGTTTCAGGTCTTACATTTAAGTCTTTAATCCATTTCAGGTTAGTTTTTGTGAGTTCTTTTACATGTGAATATCCAGTTTTCCTAGCACCATTTATTGAAGAGACTATTGTTTCTTCTTTGAGTATTCTTGGCTCCCTCATCAAATGTTAGTGTGCTATCTGCAATTTTAGGAACTAACATAATACAAATACAAATTAAATCAGTTAAAGTAAAATATTTAATCACCTATTTAGTAATTTTTATTCATTTAGTCAAAGAAAAGGTCTCAAGTAAAAAATTAAATTTGCTACTTGGAAATTCATAAAAGGCCTTTCACGTCAAACAGAAAAGAAAGTCGTGACACTTGAGTCATGGCATCTCAACTTTTAACATTACAGTAAATGAATTATTAAGCAATTTCTATAATACAGCCAAATTTCAATTTTTCACTCACAGTAATTCAGAAAATGAAAATAGTTACTTGTGACTTTGGGATCCATTCTATGATTTTTTTTTTAATTTTCTAAAAGATTTGCCTTCCTCATATGCTTTTCAAAGTTACGTAAGTTTTGGGGTGCCTGGGTGGCTCAGTTGGTTAAGCGACTGCCTTCGGCTCAGGTCATGATCCTGGAGTCCCTGGATCGAGTCCCGCATCGGGCTCCCTGCTCGGCGGGGAGCCTGCTTCTCCCTCTGACCCTCCCCCCTCTCATGTGCTCTCTGTCTCTCATTCTCTCTGTCTCAAATAAATAAATAAAAAATCTTAAAAAAAAAAAAGTTACGTAAGTTTTGTTAGCCACCATTTTGAATTATCTATATCTTGCCTCCAATTCAGATGGACATCTTCCTTTAAGTCTCTTCAACTGTCTGAACAGGGGAAGACCACTTAATTATACTCACATCTACCCTGGAACTTCCCAAAATTGCATCACAGCTTATAAATATCAGCTATAGTATCGCATATTTATGTAGTGCTTTTACAATTGCAAAGAAATTTATAAAGCTATGCCAGAGCCAGCATTGAACTTGGTCTCCTAATAAGTAATCTAAGACAGTACTTTATTAACTATATCACATTGTCTCTCCAGACGTAAAGGGCATAAGGTGATATTATAAGGATGCTCATTCCTTACATGCTTATCTTTATGTTGTATTCAGAATCCCATTGGACATGACTGACAGGCATGTCTGATACAGAGAGTGGACTCTCTGGGGAGCAGGATGTGGGTCTTGGGTGTAGTTAGAAGTAAGGGTCATGATATTGAGGAAGGATTATGGATGTAGAAGAAGAGAGGAGCTTAAGACAGTGATGTAGGTGTTAGCATCTAGTGGGACAAACACTGGGTATAATATATAAAGGGGTGACTACATTTGAAGTATTGAAGATACTTCACATTGGGAGAATTTGGAAGAAGGTATACTTTGGTGTTTGGGGCAGCTGAAAGTATAGTGTAATGGTTGTACTCTCAGATGGGAAACACAAAGCTGTCATGGCCTTGGGGACTCTGTGGGAGTGAGCACTCACTGGGGTCAAAGGGCCATAATCTCAAGCTTATGTAAGGACTGTTGTCACTTCCTATGTCTCTATCTTGCCTTACGTCTGAAAGCAGTGTCTTAGCATGGCTTGTGAGGAAATTCTCATAAGTAATTTCATCATAGCAACAGCATGATGAAACCCCTCACGCATTTCTGGTGGGTAAATGGGAAGGGGCCTGGAAATCTTCCTGTAGTTCTGCCACTGAGAGAGCCAGACTATGGCTGAGCCTAAGGGGAACTACATAAGTGAATCACTCATCTTTCATTTCTTTCCCAAACACCTATTTCTCCAAGATTTCTTCTCACTGCTTATTACCCTTGATTGATCTGTGGCATTTGACTTTGGGAACCACATTCTTCTCTAAAACCCTTCCTCCCTTATTGTCATGTCACCAGTCTCCTTAGGTTCTTTTTTTTTCTCTGATCATCCATCTCTGTTTCTCTGTTAGTTTTTCCTTGTCTGCTCCTAAAATGTTGGTGTTCTGCAGGATTTGTCCTTTGCCCTCCTCTCACTCTAGACTTTCTTTCTGGGCAATCTTGCCTGCTCCAATGACTTCAATCATCTTTTTGTATGCTGATGACTCCTCAGATTGTAACTCTGGTCTCTCTCCTGAGCTTTGTGTCGGTTGCTCTTTCTTCACGGGGTATTTTGACTTCAGTTAGCTTAAGGCATCTCTGTATCTATCTATGGAGAGCCTCCAGAATTCTGGACATCTCTACCTGGATGACCTCTACTTACCCCAAATTCAAATATATTCATAATAAAAAAAAATCTTTATCTTTCTCTACCCACAGTATATTCCTTCTGAATTCCTATCTTGAAAAACAGTACCACTTTCTACCATTGTCTGCCCAAATCCTAAATCACCTTGAAAGCTGAGATCATCTATTTTTCCCTCTCTGTCCATCCCTCCATTTATTTGGTCTGTAATTAAATCTCATTGGTTTCACTTTCTGAATGTATCTGACATTTAGTCCTTCCTTTCCATTCTGTTGTATTAGGTCAGGCCCCTCATCCTCAGTCCCCTAGATGAACGCAGTAAACCTCTAGCCAGTTTTTTTTTCTATTCTTGCTCCCTCACTGTCTTTACACCACCATCGGTGTGATTTCTCTAAAATAAAAATATCTTGTTATTCCCCAATTGAATGCTTTCAATGGTTTCTTACTGCTCATAGGATAAACTTGAAGCTCCTTCACTTTAACTTTAGAAGATATTCCATGGACAGACTCAAATTAAGGGGTGTGATATCTACTCATTTCCCTGCCCAATTATTGCCATGTGGGGATATGTGCCCAATGTTGCTAGATTTTCAGGTATTTCAAGAGATTCAGATTTTTATACAAAATCTTCTAATTTTTAAATGTTTCCTCAATTAAAAAACACAATAATATGGTTCAGGCCAAATAAAATGCTTCTGCTGCATGGATCTGCCCCAAGGCTCCCATATTGTGACTTCTGGCTAGATGCATAAGGAAACTAGATTGTCAGGGCAGGAAAAGGGTTGATGGATGTAGGGGAGAGGAAGTAGCAGAGGAAAATGGCCTGACTCTGGGAGTAGCTTCCTGGAAACTGGGAAGGGAATGAGTTTGGGGAGGGGCTTTTCTCTAGCTCATTAAGTCCTGTATCTTGTCCGTGCTAGAGGTGAAATACTCTGGTGGTGACTCATATGGAACCTCACATGTATATCTCTAATGGGTGGATATTGAGTTTTGTGGCTTTGTGACTGTGTCAGATCTTGCTAGCCCAAAGGAGGAGAAGGAACTAAAACAAGCTTTCTTGCTTTGTTGGTTGGTGGCTCAGAACAGTTTATTTAGAAAAATGACTTTGCTTGCACCTTGAATTTTGAGAAATACCTGCCACACACTTTATAGGTATCTGTTGAAATTTTGGCCAAGAGTGTATAAATAATGACAATCTTAGTGTTAAACTGAGCCAATATCATTGGAAAAGAAGATCTGCTGAGAGACAATAAAAATGTGCTATATTCCAAAGCCATATAAATGGTTTGGGGATTATCTTTATCACTGTTTCTTTAAATGGTATAAATGAGCTGTTAGGGCCACTGCACCCTTAAAGGAGGGGTTACATTTTAATTTTTGCACCAATGCTAGCAATTCTGGCATAAACTCCAGCCTGCTCCCTCACTCCAGTAACTATGAAGGGGCCACATCTCCTGGGGTACAAAGAATACACAGTCTTTTTTTTTTTAAGAGAGAGAGTGGGTATGCACAAGCTGGGGTGGGCAGGGGAAGAGGGAATTTATTAGGAGGGAATTTGAAGACACAGAGTCAGTTCCAAGGAGTCACTGTTTCTACACAGAGCATTTTGACTCAGACACAAATAAAAGGACTAACTTAACTGTGATTTTCTGGCCATTCAGAAACCACAGTCAAATTAATGTTTCCCTGGTTACTAAAACCAGCATGGGCGGGCCACAGCCCCAGGGAAGAGAGAAAATTATATTCTTTAACACTGCTTTATCTTCTAGCCTTAAAGATGTTCAGGGAAACGAAGAGGAGAACAAAGGACAAAGGTACACCTGTCCCTACCATCATTCCTCATCTTCTTTTTCTCTCCACTCTGGCCAGGGTTCTATTAACTTTCTTCTGTGTTACCTCTTTTGTATGGAAAAAATGTGAGTATAAATTTGCATAATTTTTTTCCTAGGATAATTTTTTTAAAGATGTATTTATTTACAAGAGAGAGAAAGAGAGCACAGGGGCACATACATGCTCTCCAGTGGGGGAAGGGGCAGAGGGAGAGAATCTCAAGCAGACTCCCCGCTGAGCATGGAGACTGTTGTGGGGCTCAATCTCACAACCCTAAGATCATGACCTGAGTGGAAACCAAGAGTCAGACACTTAACTGAATGAACCACCCAGGTGTCCCCTAGGATAATTTTCAGGATCAAAGATATAGCCCTTTCATCTTAGAGCTATGCCTGACTTTATTTACCTTTCAATTTATGCCAGATTTTTTGAGTTTGCAACTGGACAGACTTGAACATCATTTGATCAATTCTATTTTACTTGGGGCATGGATTATTCAAATATCTTCACTTATTATTCTTTCCTTCATCAGAAGTTGCAAGTCAAGACCACAGCTTGATACATCAAAGGTGTATATTATATATACAATAAATATTGAATGAAAGAAGATCAGATTAAAATTTTGTTAGTCTAGGAAAAAGATTTTGGGATTAGTTGGAAAGAGGTGTGGATAGGGAGAAGGGATTGATATGAAGGACTATGTATGTTTATCACTATTAGCAGGTTTAAATTACTCAAACCATTCTTGTCCTGGGAGGTATCAAATAAGCAAAAGTTGGCTATATATAGTCTGTTTAAAACCAAACACTGCTCTATTACAAACTTATGAGCTATCCCTTTTAATTTCAGCTCTTATACTCTTAGTAGCTTTTGGCAAGATAACATGTATGAACATCAGAATAATAAGAATTTGATAACAGATAAAAATAGTGTGCAAAACAATCAGAATTTCTTAAGTCCTTACTTCTCAGCTTGGGAGATTTTACCAAAGCCTTGCTTGCTGAACTGTTCATCTTTGCTGGGGAGATTTTGGTGGTTGAATACTTCATTTTAGTCTTCATTTTTCAGGCTTCTGTGGATTAAAATGTAATATTAGTTCAATTGTTTCAACTTGAAAATAAACAGAAATAACTGTGGCTAACTCAAAATAGCATTAATAACATAGTCACCTAAAGAAAATAATTATTTCAGTAAAATTTGAATATAGTTTTCTGAAAATATATCCATATTGAAATATAGTCAGAGGACAAAAAGAACTACAAGGAAGTCTTAAACTTTACTTAGTGGGTTTATTGTTGGTAGTATTATTGATATTAGGATTCTAAAATGTTTTTACTATATTATAGGATAGAGTGAATAAGTAGATATATTGATATTATAGGATTTTTATTGCAGTGGAAAAGAGATACAAATATAAAATATAAGAAGCCAAGGGAAAAATCTCTGTAATGTTAAATCTGAGTCAGCAGTATCAGTGTGCCCACATCTTAGGTTCTAAATACTTTTTCCTCTAAAAAGAACCAGGACTCTCTAGGTCTGGGCTGAGAATATAGAAGTGAATATGAAATATTCAGTTATGCCAGAAAGCAGTCATTCAAAAACTTGTGAGTTTGTGTCAAAAGGACATGAGTCCCCCTTAAAGGGTTTCTCACTGGCCAAATTTGGCACAATTTGAGCATCAGAAAGAATAATGATGGTAATTCACTATAAAACATTTCATGCAAAAAAAACCCCACCAGTCCATAGCATTCCTCAAGAATGAATGAACAAGAGATTTATTCATTACAGAAGGAATGGTAGAATTAGAAAAATAACAATCTTGTAGCCCCCAGTGTAATACTTGATTCAAGCAAGGATCATCAATGGATGCTATGCCTTGAGTGTCAAGATGGGTCAGAGTAGTTTACTGAAAGAATATACATTTTCTCTTATAAATTGCAGAAAGCCCCATATTCATTTAGTAGGGTACCATAGCCTGGCTTCATCATCAAGGTAAGGTAGTGGTGCTTTGATTTGTGGAGGGAACAAGACTTCTCCAGCCTTAAATTCTCCCCTTACATTGTTTGAAATTCTACTAATAGTTACTTCTACTTGTATTAAGCCTTGCCCTCTTTTTCCTAGATTAAAAAAAAAATTCAGTGTATCCCAGGAGTGGTTACTATTTAAATCTCTTACAAACTTTATATGAATCAGCCCTTTTAGCAGGGTAAGGGATGAGCATTGAGTTACGACATTAGAGGACTCCGTGAAAGATAAACTTCATGCAACTTTTTTTGTTTCTGAACAACCTTGAATAGACTGAAATTCCAAATTTTCTTGTTTAGATAGAACTAGAATCTTACACACAGCCATCCTATTTACAACTGGCTTCATGAGCAAAAATCTTCAATGGTAGAAGAACACTTAGAAGCAGAGAACCTTAGATATCATTTTCCTGAGCTTCTAAATCTATGGATGAGTAAGCTAAGACTGAAAGAAAGTGCCTTGCCCAGGATCACAAAAGCAAAACTGGGACCAGAATCTAGTCTCCTGATTTCCATCTTTATGACAGAGCTTCTGGACCGTGTCTCCTCTCTCCTTCCTCGGTTGTAGGAAGAAAATAGTCAGAACTGGAAATTTGGCCAGTTGTCCAACTTCTTTAGAAATAATAAATTTCTAAATATGGTGGTTAATATGTAATCATGACATGTGCAGTTAGGTAATCTTACTGTAGTTAAATTTTAAATTTTCAGGAAATTGTTCAAATAATACCCTGCACACAGTAGGTATGCAGGTAACACTTTACTGATAATATGAAAATTGTAATGCTGGATTGTTTTTTGTTTGTTTGTTTTCTTTTTTATCCAAAGATCCTTATGTCCCAGAAAAAATGTTCTCCTGGATGGACATTTACCCCCCCGCCACCGCCCCACAACAAACTGTTGCATTTTTCAAATAAATCTGGGAAATATTCCTATCTATAGTCCACCTCTTGTGAAGTCAGAACCACATTAGCATAATAAAGATGTTGACAGTCCTTCATTGAAGATTCATGGGTACTTTTTAATTATTTTTGGTAATTATTTGATCTTGTAACTTCCCCCACTACCTCTGTTAATCCCCTATTAACAAGGACTATCTATTATCATGGACTAATCTGAGATAACACACTTGGAGGAACTCTGCTCTAAACCAAAATTAGCTTTCTGATTTAAACAACATAGATAAGAAACTGAAATACCACATTTACAATGGAGTGATTGACACAGAGAAAGTCAGCTGCTTTTTAAGAATCAAATGATAAGCATAGTCAGGAAAAAAAAGAAAAAAAACAGAAAAAAAAGCATAGTCAGGAAATATTTTAAAATCCTATTCTAAAAAACAAAGCATTTTCTTTAAACAGTCTACAAATCTTTTGCTTTAAAAAACACAATCACTCTTTTCAGGACTAAAATTAACTCTTTATTCTCATATTTTTAAGTCAGAAATATTTCAGAATATATAGCAATATAAAAATCACTGGTTCTTTCATGCTGCTTTTCCCAATAATATAGGCAAATATTCTTGCACACTGGTTATGATACCTTACCTTATAAACGTGAAGGGCTGGTCTCAAATAATGAAGTTTCTTGTCGTCAGCATTTGGTAGTGGTTGATGCTATAGTCCAACTCTACTTATATATATGCACTTGGATTAAGCAACATTGGGTGGCAGTGTTTGATGAATGAGGCAATGCAAATAGCACTAGCTGAATGGGTTAGAATGAGTGGGAGTATATACTATCCCACAGCCAAATCCTAAACAGAGCTTTCAGATTATTTTAACTGCAGCACTTTCAATGAGTTATACTCAGTTAATCATTAATTTTTATGAAACCTCTATGACATGGACTCTAGGTATTGTTTATTGCTCAATGTAGAGTGTACAAGGGCACAGACTTTCATTGTCTTTCTCTTTTCTATTGGGAAGTTGAAAACTTTAGGTAATTTTTTTCTGATTCTAAAAATGATGTATGTGCACTCAGAAAATGGATAAATGGTAGGAAAGCATATATAAGCTATATTTCCTGACATTCTTTTTCCAATACAGAAATACTATGCATATATATTTTTTCATAAAAAATAGAATCTACTGCAAGTATTATTTTGTAAGCCGCTTTTTTGATTTTCCAGTTAATGTCAGAAATATTCTTTTACAGGAAGCATTATAAATAGCTTTCAATCATGTAAGTATACCATAACAAATCTTTTATTGATTAACCCTTTGGCTGTTTCTGTTTTTTTCTTTCTTTTCTTCTTTTCTAATATCACCAGTGTTGCAATTGACATGTGAGTGTGTGTGTGTGTGTGTGTGTTGTAATTCTTGGTTAACTTTTGTATGTTCATTGGTAGCACAAATTCCTAGTAGCAAGATTGCTGAATCAAGGGGTTTGTGCATCTTACATGTTGATAAGATATTACCCCATTGAATTTCTAGAAGTTTGTATTGGTTTATAGTTTTTTCAATGATCCAGGTGAATGCTCTTTTCACCATTGCCTTAGCAGCAATGGGTGTCATCACCTTTAAAATGTTTGCCTTTCTAGTGGAATTTAAGAAACAAAACAAATGAGCAAAGGCAAAAAAAAGAGAGAGGCAAACCAAGAAACATACTCTTAACTCTAGAGAACAAACTATGGTTACCTACCAGAGGGGAGGTGGGTGGGGGGATGGGTGAAATAGATGATGGGGATTAAGGATGCCATTTGTCATGATAAGAACAGAGTGATGTATGGAAGTGTTGAACCACTGTATTGTACACCTGAAACTAATATTATACTGTATGTTAACTAACTGAACTTTAAATAAATAAAAATTTTTTAAAAATTGCCTTTCTAAAGAGTGGAAAATATCTCATGGTTTTGAATTTTATTTATTTAGTGAAATTAAGCATCTTTTAAACAATGCACTTGTTGTCAATTTCTATAAATTATTGATTTATATGAATTCTTTGTAAAGTAAGAAATGAAACATGTGTTATCTGTGACATGTGTTGAAAAATTTTCCCCAGTACCATTTATCTTTAGACTATTAATGGCATTTTTTTTTGGCCATACATAAATTTTCAAATCTCATGTGGTCAAACTTAATTATTGTTTTAGAATTTCTGGATTTTGTGTCCTGCTTCAAAACACCTCCCCTCCTCTAAAATTATAAATAAATTTATCACACCATTTTCTAAAATTGTATACTACTTAAAACCTAAATCTTTGATCCACTATTACATTTAGTATATAAAGAATAGGATTTTTTTCCGCTCCAGTGCTTATCTCAACCACACATGTAATCCAATTTAGACAAAGTGAAGTTTCATATGTTATGTTGGAACTAGCGTGCAAAGGGCTGTGAATGCAGCAACAAGGAGTTGGAATTTTATCCTGTAACCAACAGGAATCTTTTAAAAGTTTTTTAAGCAAGTGAGAAGTACTATAAAAAATGTGTTTTGTGAATGTAATTTTATGGTTGTGTGAAAGAACATCTGAAGGAATGAAAGAAGAGAAAGATAGGAAACAAAGCCCAGTCAGGAGACTAATTAAAATAGTCCAGGAAAAAGCAGTGAGGGCAGGGACTAGGGCAATGTTAGTGAGGCCAGTAAGGAGGGGATGAAGGTGGTGAGTGCTGCAAGCATTTCAGAAAGTCCTTGAATATTGGCGTGAGAAAGGGCCCCAGAGATCCCTGTTCCAGCTCCGCTAAGTCACTTAGCTCCTTAGTGGCTGAATCAGGATTAGAACCCAAGTTTGACTCTTGGTTCAGGGTTGTGTCCATCACAGAGCCTCCACAGCTCTTTTTGGATGTGTTTGTATTAGCTCTGGACTGGGGAAGTGAGAAGGTGAAGGGAACTGAGGGGGCAGTCAGGTGTTCAGGGTAGGAAACTCAGGTGAAGAGTCCATTTTCAGGTACAGATAATGGTCTGATGTGGGGCAGATGGAGTTTGAGATAAATGAGGAGCAAATATGGAACTTTCAGCACTGAGCTGGAAGTAGGTTGTGGGTGGGTGGGGGAGGCCAGAGTTAGCAATCTGGATTTGCTACATGTAGATTTCAGCATGAGAATTG